GCTGCCATGGGTGCAGGGATGAGGAGTCAGGATCCCAGAGTCCCAGAGGAGGTGCCAAATAGGAGTGTGCAACTCCCTGCAGCAGAAGGGTCAGGAGGACTGACTGGCCTGTGCTGCTCAGAAGAGGACAATGCCCTTGAAAATGCATCTGTTGAAATGCTCAGAGGAGGAAGGGGCATGGTCTTGGCTAAGCAAGGCCATTACCGCTCTCAGTCAAGCACCTGTCCACACCATTGTTTTAGCAGCCACATTATACAGAATTCAAAACCAGGCCCTGCGAGGAGACCCGTAAGAGTGGAGAGTTACAGCTTCTGCCCCAGAGAGTGTCCCAGGATAATGAGGAGATGGCTGCAGTCACCACATTTTCTGATTCAAAAATCAGACAGGCAGACTGACAAGTATAAATATACTTTTGAAGTTAAGAAATGTAATGTTTATAATCAGGATGTCAAAAAAAGAACACACAGCCCACATCGTCAACAATTATATGGGCCAGACATCCAGGAAAAAAAAAACACAGAACACATGGAAAGATAAAACAAGATAAGCAAGGACAGCTGAGGTCAATGTTACGTGTTATGTGTGAGAACAAGTTGGCTTGACTGTTGACTTATGTCTCTGTAACCCAATTGCCTACAGCCTATTGGGTCAATGGCCCCCTCAAAGCGAATTTGTTACTTCTGGGAATTCACAAAGGGGTGTCTCGTGTCTTCACAAAGTGGTCTGTCATCGGCAGTCATTATTTGGTGCCCTCCCTGCTCTCACTCCTCTATCCCAGTTCCCTCTCACAGTTGTTCTTTATTCTCTCCATTTATATCTGTAAAGGACATCTATCCATGTTCTTTATTCTTGAGAAACTCCCTCGAGTTCTCATCCATTCAATATTCAGTAAATCTATTTACAATATTCAGCACCTACTATGTATGTTTCCTGCCCTGTATGAGGCAGTAGGGCTACAGAGACCAGTAGACACAATCTTTCAATCGAAGAACTCTCTACTCACTAGGAGAGAAAGTACATAAGCAGATGATATGAACTTCCATAGGTCTTCTCATCTTAAAAAGACCTGAAAAAGGACTGCAGAATGGCTCCTTCTACACTCAGATGTGCAAAGGAACTGTAGTACCTTTGTGCCTTTGCAGCTGCTCTGATCTTCCCATGAGCTTCCCACCCTCAGGGCAGCAAAGGAAACTAAACATTAATCCATCCTGAGAAGCTCAGTTTGACCAACCACTTTAACATTCTCTTAAAGAAGCTAAGTCTCTGCTTGGATAACTCTGGAAATTGCTTAATCAGTGATTCACTTCCTCCCCAACCCAGCTCCTGTCTAAGAAGGTTGGGGGTAGTATAAGTGATGTGGCTTCGGTGACCTTATAGCAACGGCAGGAGACAGTGTGCATGGACTTACGTGGACTCAGGAGTCCCACTGGTCTCTGATGAGCTATATGTATGACTCCCACCAGGGCAGCTGGTGGCCCCAGTCATTGCCTGCATAGTGTGGCCCTTTGCTCCCAGTCAGCTCTCTGTAGGCTCTTTACCATCTCAGTATCTCCAGGTCTTCTCTTTTTTTTCTTCTTTTTTAAAAATATATTTTATTGATTTTTTACAGAGATGAAAGGAGAGGGATAGAGAGTGAGAAACATCGATGAGAGAGAAACATCAATCAGCTGCCTCCTGCACACTCCCCATGTTCTTATTCTTGAGAAACTCCCTCGAGTTCTCATCCATTCAATATTCAGTAAATCTATTTACAATATTCAGCACCTACTATGTATGTTTCCTGCCCTGTATGAGGCAGTAGGGCTACAGAGACCAGTAGACACAATCTTTCAATCGAAGAACTCTCTACTCACTAGGAGAGAAAGTACATAAGCAGATGATATGAACTTCCATAGGTCTTCTCATCTTAAAAAGACCTGAAAAAGGACTGCAGAATGGCTCCTTCTACACTCAGATGTGCAAAGGAACTGTAGTACCTTTGTGCCTTTGCAGCTGCTCTGATCTTCCCATGAGCTTCCCACCCCGAGGGCAGCAAAGGAAACTAAACGTTAATCCATCCTGAGAAGCTCAGTTTGACCAACCACTTTAACATTCTCTTAAAGAAGCTAAGTCTCTGCTTGGATAACTCTGGAAATTGCTTAATCAGTGATTCACTTCCTCCCCAACCCAGCTCCTGTCTAAGAAGGTTGGGGGTAGTATAAGTGATGTGGCTTCGGTGACCTTATAGCAACGGCAGGAGACAGTGTGCATGGACTTACGTGGACTCAGGAGTCCCACTGGTCTCTGATGAGCTATATGTATGACTCCCACCAGGTCAGCTGGTGGCCCCAGTCATTGCCTGCATAGTGTGGCCCTTTGCTCCTAGTCAGCCCTCTGTAGGTTCTTTACCCTCTCAGTATCTCCAGGTCTTCTCAAGAGAGCTTGTGGGCACTTTGAAGCATTTACATATTCTGCGTGGGTATAAGCCGAAAGTTCATTTCTAGGGCAGGGAAAGGGGGGATGTTGAGACTTTAAATCCCTCTTCAGTCTTCCTCTGTCACATTTTTTAAATATATATATATAATTTCAGAGAGATAAAAACATCAGTGATGAGAGAGAATCATCAATTGGCTACCCCCTGCATGCACCCCACTGGGAATCGATCCTGCAACCCCAGCTTCTGCCCTGACGGGGAATCGAACCGTGACCTGCTGGTTCATAGGTCGAACGCTCAACCACTGAGCCACACCAGCTGGGCTCCTCTGTCACATTTTTCTTTCCACAGTCTTCAGGCTAAAAAAGGCAGACCTCAGACTATTTCCCGAACATCATATACTCTTTGTACCCTCAGACAATAAGCCTTAAGGCCTGGCCTTCACAGACAAAAGAGGCCATTTGTCTATCGTCCTGTAGAAGAGCTCTGTTATCCAGTCCACAGGCTGTTGTTCTATGATATTTCAAGAGAGTAGATAAAAGAATTAAAATATCCTTTTGTCCCTTACAGAGGTTGGCTTTCAAGCCTTTCGTCTTGCTACTGACTCTAAAAGACTATGTCAGAAGCTGAATGTTGACTTTCTCTTTTCCATTTCATACCTGCTGAAACAACAATAACTCTTCCAGAGACAGACAGGTGCCTTGAGCTATCTAGGGAAGAGTTAAAGACACAGAAATACAGAGGGGGGAAAAATCTTATTTATATAAATCAGATTGATTTTTGGAGCTCCTTTGTGAAGTTCAAAGCCAGTGCTTCCCAACTCTTCTCCCCATCCTTTGACTCATTGGACTACACAATGGGTTTTTCGTTTTAGAAACTTGGTGGACTCAGGCTTTCTCCAGGCTGTAAAAAGAATATTTTGAGAGGCAACTATTGCAAAACTAAGACAGTGTTAGAGATTACCAAGAGGGGAGCTATAAACTTTGGTCTCATCATGATATAAAGATTCCTTACAGGAATGAAAGGGAAGAAGAAAGAGGAGGAGAAAGCAGAGAAGTTCTTTCTTTAAAGTTTAAAATATCTTTGTAACAAAGAATTTCCTAGGCATTCTACTGTACCATGTCTTCATCAATCCTTCTAACAATTCCTACAAGGAAGCTACTGTTTCCCCATTTCACAGATGTGAAATTGTGGGTTAATGAAGTTGTGAGCCAGGTTTCAAGATTGCACAGTTAGTGAGCCTACATTCTACTGACAGCCCTCATGAGAATGGTGGACATAGCGATGAGGGGGCAGGGGAGCTAGAGGGACGCTCCTCCTCAAAGCCTGGAGACAAGAAAAGGCCACCAGGCCGAGAAGCTGGTGACAGAACCCCAGGATGCTGGCTGTTAGGGCGTCACCTTTGTCCTCGCTCTGACATGTTGGAGAAAATTAGCTAAAGGCAGAGGAATAAATAGAGTGGCTTCTGGAAAGGCCCTCAGTTTCTACGTGATTCTATGATAGGACAGAGAACCCCAAGTAGGACCCGACAGGTGTGAAAATAATAGAATTCAGGCCGTGTTCCAATCTCCTTCCTTTGGGATGGAACAGGGGTTTCCATTTCTTCAGCAGTTCTCTGGAGTCTCTCATTCCCCAGCCTTTGAAAAGCTTCTATTCCTCCCTCTTCAAAATGTATTGGAGGTCTACCCCTGGCATACACCTGCCTTCTCAGGAACAAGGACCATGAGGTGGAGACAGGATGGATTGGGACACAAGTCCAATTTAGGGTGTGTCCCAGTTCAGTCCCTACTGAGCCCAAATCCTCATCTCCCCCTCATAGTGGTTCTCAGCACAGACAGGGAAGAATTGATGGCCCCCTGGGACCCATTTGATTGGCACCCCCTCTGAAGATTATCTCCTAAGCAAGTACCCCCTTCTAAACTGGGGATGTAGGGCTTTGAAACTAGAAAATGCCAGGTCTGAAAGAGAAAAAAGAACAAGTCCGGCAACACACAGAGCTCTGTGTATTCAGAGAGAAGTTGGCAGGATTGTGCTCGGGCAGAGAAACTCCGAGTGGTACAAAGGGACGTGCCCAGAGTGAAGAAATCATGCTAATTGTCTGCACCGAAGCTGGAGAACGCCACCCAAAATGAAGAGAGAAAGGGGAGCCCTGTCCAGAGCCTTCAGTGCCCTGCGCCTCACTCCTTTTGTCTACCTACTTCTGATCCAGACAGGTAGGAGACCAGAAGGGTAAGAAAGGGTTTGGAGAAGGGACTGGGGCTTTCAAAAGTGAAGGAGGGAGAGTGGAGGGCCAGCATTGCCTTTAGGGTGGGAGGAGGGGAGAGAGCTCAGCTGTGTGGGAAGCATCTCAGTGAATTCAGGCATTAGTGTTGAATGTATTTCTTCATTCTGCACGGCCCCTGCCCCCTCCCCCAAAAGGCTGCATGACTTCGGAGCTCCCACGGCATTCAGGACATTAGAGGAAGGGCAATGAGCCATTTTTATAGGATGACTTGGTACAGGCCAGTTCGGCATTCTTTGCAAGAATTATGGTGAGGCTTGGAGGGGTGGGGGAATCTTGGTTTTGTGCTTTCCCAACCTCCTGCCCCCACTTCTCTGAGTGTAAAACAGCAAGAGATAGCAGAAGCTTTGTCGATAACGAGCATCCTGATTTTGGAGAGTAACACCAAACTACCCCTAACTCACCGTACACCGTAGACACCTGTCTCCTATTTCACCCCCTACCAACTATTTGGAGAATTGATCTTATTTTAAGTATATTTGTTTATGTCCCCACACACTGTTCCAGAAAGCTTAGGAATTCACAATTTAGTTGGGCAAACAGATGCAGAGATCATTTTAATAAAACACAGAAACTATTTTGAGTCAGATATGCAGAGGATGCCTGGGAGCAGAGAGAAGTCACCTACTTCTCTCTGTGGGTGCTGGTGGTGCAGGGTGGGGTTGGAGGAATATCAGGGGAGGTCACCTGGGAATGTCTGCACTAAATTTTAAAGGATCAGATAAAATAGGTAGGTGTGGGCGTGGGCATTAGAGTTGGGGAAATGGGCAAAGGTCGACAGCTTGAAATGGCATCCTGTGTTTAGGAGCAGCCCAGCTGTTCTCTCCACTGCTGGAGAGGAAAGTGTGAATACGTTAGGCAAGAGCCTGGTGACCTACACCAAGTAAAGCAGAATAGTCTGTAAACCGTGGAGTGGGAAGAGCATTGAAAGGTTCTAATCTGGGGGTTGGGAGGGCCAGGCATGTGTTGGGATAGCTCACTCTGTAGTGAGGCATCGGAGAGGAACTGGAAGCAAACAAGATAGGAAAGGGCACCTGTATGCATTTCCTAGGGCTGCTATAGCAAAGAACCATGAACTGGGTGGCCTAGAAAACAGAAATTTATTGTCTCACAGTTTTGGAGGCTAATAAGTTTGAGATCAATGTGTCGACAAAACTCAGCTGATGGAGATAGAAAAGGATCCGTTCTAGGCCTCTCTGCTTCTAGTAATTCCTTGGCTTATGGCAGCTTAACTTCAGTATTTACACTTAGTGATTGATAAGAAGTGGGAGGGTCCAGAGAGGGAGGTATGGGCTCTGTGTGAAACCTTAAACAAAAATTATGGGGATATGATCATTACTGTTGTCCATGTTAAGGTTGAAATACCTATGACACATCTGTGGGAAAATGTTGAGTAGCCTAAACCTGGGGGGCAGGGAGGCCAGGGCTGATGCGAGGTATTTGGAGGCTGTCAGCCCATAGGTAAGATTTAAAACAAAGAATGGATAATAGCACTTAGGATGAGAAAATAGGCTGAAAATGGAACATTGAGTAACCCCAAGATTTGTAGAAGATGGAGGTATGGGTTCTGTGTGAAACCTTAAACAATAATCGTAGGGACATGATCATTACTGTTGTCCATGTTAAGGTTGAAATACCTATGACACACCTGTGGGAAAATGTTGAATAGCCTAAACCTGGGAGCAGGGAGGCCAGGGCTGACGCGAATATTTGGAAGCTGTCAGCCCATAGGTAAGATTTAAAACAAAGATCTGTGGGAAAATGTTGAGTAGCCTAAACCTGGGGGGCAGGGAGGCCAGGGCTGATGCGAGGTATTTGGAGGCTGTCAGCCCATAGGTAAGATTTAAAACAAAGAATGGATAATAGCACTTAGGATGAGAAAATAGGCTGAAAATGGAACATTGAGTAACCCCAAGATTTGTAGAGGAAAACATCCCACTGAGGAGACCAAGAAGGAACAGTCACAGGGATAGAGGGAGGACTAGAAAACTGTGTATG